CCCTATATTTAAAAGAAAAAAGCACAAATACATTATATATTCTATAAAATTCTATAAATTCTATAAAAATTGCACATTTTGTTTTTGATGCCAGTAAAAAAAAGCCAAAGACAGACTTTTTTTTTTTGTTGTTTTTTTTGCAAAGCAGGCAAAACTAAGAAAAAAATACTGTAGTAATACAAACTGTGTATAAATCACAGGGAACTATACCTGACTGAGAGAGGAAGAAAAAAAATAAAAAGGAAGCTAAACAAACATCACATTCCAGTAAAGGCAACACAATACATACTGTTGACTCATATATCATCCCGGAAAATGCAGAGGCGATTAGGTAATGAAGAAATGGGTCCAAGGTCTGGTAGAATAAAAAGGGTTTATCCTTTAATGGTGCAGAAGAGCTTCAGATAGAAAGAGTAGGACACCTGTCAGTGATCCACTAGACCAAGATAGATTTCCAAGCACAACGGAGCAGAACGTGCCAAAAGGTCTCTGTAGTGAAAATAGGCCATTACATTAAACTGTTGAACAATTGTGATCCAAACCTGCTGGACACAGGGACAGTGCCAGCAGCAGACAGACGTGTAGAACAAAGCATTTAGTACAAAGCTCAGAAACACATTTTTAAAAAGTCATGACATCAAAATGTGTTTTATGGCCATACTTGATATAAGATTTCAGCTGCTCAACAGTCCAGCCTTCATTTCACAATGTGTCAAATGCTCTGAGAGAGTAACAGGTCTGGACTGCAGAGGTGCTACTTTGCACTTTTTTTTATTAAGGATCCCTGCAGTTGCATGTGCAGATTCTTCTTCATCTTCTTCTTCTTTCGGATCCTAATCCACATTTTTTTTTCCTGAAAGACAGCTTTCCGGAAATGTTTTGTTGGCATCAAGTTTAAAATGACTTTTTTTTCTGAAAGGCTTAAAAAGTCTTTTTTATTTTGATTTTTTTTTTTTTTTACATTTTACTTGTTTTGTAAAATGTATTTGTAAGAGAAGTCTACATTAAAAGTGATTAGAAGTGAGCCGTAAGTCCTCTAATAAGTTATGCCTCATCTTATAGGTAAGCACAATGGGACAGTCCAGGGCAGGGTGTACTTCCGCTGTCCCCCAGGCCACGGCGTGTTTGTGAAGCCATCTCGTCTCACCAGAGGACCACCCTCCATGGACACAGAACCGCAGACTCTGATCAGATAGGACCCAAAGAAGGACGTGTTTTCTGGGGAGTTGCAGGGATCTGAGGGTGGTCCTCAGATCCTCTTCAGCCTCCCTTCGTATTATCTTTTTGACCACTCAAGTCTCTGAGCTGAAGGAGTCTGTGCTGTCTGAAAGCATATCTTACCTGTGCATTTAATGAAGGTATATCCTAATTATTGTTCACTGACAACCACAAAAAAAATCACTATGCACATATCTTAGTTTTCTATATGGTGATATTTTTATAGAAAACTTTAATCTGGGAGTCTTTATACAATATTACCCACATACTTTTTGTTACATTGGTTCTGAACACTCCCGTATTTTTGTAAGGCAATGCACTCCAGCCACCCCCCCCAGCTCCCCCTAGGCTCATAATGGAGTAATCTGGGATATGAAGATTAAGAATGTACTACTGTTAATAAACATTGATATTTACATCAATATGAAATATCAGGGCTAACCAAAGAACTTCGGTTCCATATCTGCTGTTATGAGTTACATGTTATTTTTCTAATGTGCGTATGTGGACATATTTGCTACAAATCGATGTGTCCAATTAAAGCTTAGTGCCATATCTCTAGGAGTAATGCCACATACCCTGAGCATAAGACGAATCTGCAAACCCGAGTTGCAGTTAGAAATGTTGCTGTTGACGTACTGTAACACTGTGGAGGAAATGACCCCCATCCATCCAGCACGAAACTGTTGGTGTTCGAATGCTTGCACTGGAAAGGATTCTTGGAGAGTTTGTTGACTGTCTTCCACGATGGACTGATGAAATATTTGCAACCGATGAACTGTGTGTCAACACTAGATGTACAAAGCAGCTAGGTTTTGTCTGAGGCTGGTTATACTGATGCCTTATTGCCCTGTTTTTATAAAAAGAGGCACATAAGTCCCAAAATACTCAGTAGTTATAACCACAGCTGTATGGATCAGAACCTGTATGTATATTTTGAAACCCACAAGTATTCAAAATGCCATCCTGCCTTGCTGACTGACTGATTGAATGCCTTTTTAGCTGATGTCCATCTCCATTTTACATGCTAACAGACTGATGAGTGATGCCACACGTTAAAAGGCACTCAATAACTCAGTTTTTCACATCGAGGATTGAATAAAGGGGCGATGGACAGCATCGGGTTAGAGAAAATTAGCTTAGGTATGAAGAAGAGTTTCCTACAAACGTGTGTTTTATCAAAGTGGTGAACTGTGGAACTGACTAGAAATAGGTAAATATTCAAGCTGTAATTGCAAGTAAAAGAAAGAAACCCAAGAACCTTACTTTAAACAAGAGAACAAAGCTGCTCTCCCTAAAAAGGAGTTGTAAATAGAAATGTATTTGAACATACACTATTATAATGTACAGAATTGTATTTATAATGTATCTTGAATTGTTTAATTGGTACAAAATGTTCTAGAATAGAACATTTACAATCAGTGTATGTGTTGACTCTTCATTCTGCTCATGCATGCTAACCTAGTGTATTTACCTAACTAGTATATGCAAGTAAATTTGAAATTCAGGATTCAGATGCAGGAAAAAAGAAAAAACAAGAAGTTACTTTTAACCACTGCATTTTTCTAATGTAGCGATACCTTCAGGCTGACAAACCTGTTTCCTGGATATATATATATATATATATA